TAGATTTTATGGAAATATTTGAATGCATCTGCGAACATCTCTTTTCCGCAAGTCGAGGATGTTAAACATATACATAGTCGCTGCACCAGAATGAGACTATTTCTTCAGGAAGATGATTTGTTTAACACAAAATCAACATGAGAGGTTTGGAGCTTCTAAAAAGTCAAAGAGCTGCTCACACCAGGTTTGTGGCACAAGTGGTCTCTACACTTGGCACAGGCTGTGTCCTTTAAATCTACAAGAAAATATATTACAATAGCAAAAAAGAAAAAAGAAAAAAAAGCTGTGCATATATTGACCAATATTACACCTTTCAGTACTTATATGGACAGAATTGTGTAAACAATGATTATACAGGAAAGTGTAACCCATGTTTAAATGTAGGAATTTACTTAGTTTAGCTGGGTTCAAACAATTCTGTAAGATAGAAATGTGTGACTAGATTAGAACTTTTCCAGACACAGCGATGTTTCTAAATAATCCTACAGTGATTTATCGAGAGGGATCAAAAGAAAGCCTCTCATTGTCTCTTTGTCCGCATCCCTGTCGTCCATAAATGGGGAGCAGGCACAGATGGGGATATCCCTCTACTTGTCATGCCTTTCATGGAGAAGCTGTTGTCAATGGGGCAGTGGGCTACCAAATATGGAGAAGGGGTCGCACTGGTTGGCCCCTTCTCGTGGACACTGTCAGAGTATAAACTGGCGGGGCATGACATTTCAGCACCGCTGGTTTACACACTCAAGAGTCGGCCTCTGGTGCTGATCTGGTGAGTACTCACAGCTGATCAAACGGGAGTGAAAAAATGACAAACACTGGATTTATTACACTAGGATCGATCCGGGACTTTAATGCAAACAGCAATGACCTCCATCTTTTACTTACAAGAATCATTATCTAAATTAAACCGATCATTTCATCAAAAGCGACATGTGGATCATCAACTTTTTTTGTGGATTACAAATGATGCAAAGTCCTAACAACGCTTTTACGCTACACAGCGCTAGTGTTAGTGACTTAAATATCTGAATAAACAACTCTCGAATTCGTGAAATATGTAGTTTGTTATGTGATATATTACATAAAACTAATTTATTATTATCCATAACTAGTTTTCTGGCTTCAGGATCCACCAAAAACGAGTGTGCTGTTTGCGCTGAACCTATAAAGAGAAGGGAACCTCTTTAATCCCCCAATCAAAAAACAAACAAACAAACAAAACAACAACAACAAAAAACCCCACAACAAAACAAAAAGAACAGGACAACTGTTATCGGAACTAATTGTGCTCGTGCGCGCACCCGCCTGTCTGTTGCAGACCTGCCGCCATGTGTGACGACGAGGAGACTACAGCCCTGGTGTGTGATAACGGTTCTGGACTGGTGAAGGCGGGTTTCGCCGGAGATGACGCACCACGAGCGGTGTTCCCTTCCATTGTTGGTCGCCCACGTCACCAGGTAATTTAAACTGTTCATAAAAACAACAGTGGCACTGTAGAGACGTGTATGCATGATTTATACTTAATCAAAAATAATCTAAGGCTTTGCAAGGATAAGCAGAGTTGTGCGTAATTACGCACGCATCTATTGTTTACACTGGAGGAAACCCACCAGCCATGTTTTGTTCTAATCATCAGTAAATCCTTCACTACATCACTTCACCGATTCCTGATGTTTTCAGGGCGTCATGGTTGGTATGGGCCAGAAGGACTCCTACGTCGGGGACGAGGCCCAGAGCAAAAGAGGAATCCTGACACTAAAGTACCCCATCGAACACGGCATCATCACCAACTGGGACGACATGGAGAAAATCTGGCACCACAGCTTTTACAACGAGCTGCGCGTGGCCCCAGAGGAGCACCCCACTCTATTGACAGAAGCCCCCCTCAACCCAAAGGCCAACAGAGAAAAGATGACACAGATCATGTTTGAGACTTTCAATGTCCCCGCAATGTATGTGGCCATCCAGGCAGTGCTGTCCCTGTACGCTTCTGGGCGTACCACAGGTATGACACAGACCTCCGACAGGTGCTGTGCAGCATTTGAGTAGATTAAAAAAAGGTACATTAAATGTTTACATATTCTCTGTTGGCTCTAGGTATTGTCCTTGACTCCGGTGATGGTGTGACCCACAATGTCCCCATCTATGAAGGGTACGCTCTTCCCCACGCCATCATGCGCTTAGACTTGGCCGGCCGTGACCTCACAGATTACCTCATGAAGATCCTGACGGAGCGTGGTTATTCTTTTGTCACAACCGGTGAGTGTAAAGCGTTAGTCACAAATTTCAAACACGGGCGACCTGTAAAGCACTAAAACATCACTCAAACATCATTTACTTTTACTTTACTTTTATTTTGTTTTATTTCAACAATCAACACGGGTATAAAGATACAAAGAATTATTATAACACGGTATCAGAGGAGAGATTTATCTTGTGTCCAAAGTACATTTTTTCTGACTACAACGCGCCTGTCTATCTCCGTCAGCTGAACGCGAGATTGTTCGTGACATCAAGGAGAAGCTGTGCTACGTCGCTCTGGACTTTGAAAACGAGATGGCCACCGCCGCCTCATCCTCTTCTCTAGAAAAGAGCTACGAGTTGCCCGACGGCCAGGTCATCACCATCGGCAATGAGCGTTTCCGCTGCCCGGAAACCCTCTTCCAACCCTCATTCATTGGTGCGTAAAAGCGAACACAACATCTAAGCACTAATTTAATTGCAGTGACACTGTTGAAATGTCGCGCTGAATTAACTGTAAGTCCCTGCAATAGTCATTCACGTATAGTCTGACCTTCACTGCAATGTACAGACTGTTAAACTCACTTTCTTCTGGTGTAAGGAACGTTTCGATCAGCTCAATTCCTTCCATTGCTGGAACTTGTTACAATATTAATGTGAACCAATCGTGAAGCAGGAGGGGTAGCTGTCAGTCAAAGAATCAGTCTAATATCTGGGTTTTAATATGGCTCTCAATATTTAATGCTTGCTTATAACTGTTAATTATTCCTTAGGCCTATTCATAGAATACTACCCCACATTTGTACATGAATTGTTTTCTAAGCATATACACGTCTATTTCTCACATTTTTGACTAACTATGGCAACCAAGTGGAGCTTCAGATATATCCATCACCGATTTACCACCTTATTACCGTTGAATGCATATCAGTTGTCTAAAGCAGTGCCTTCCACTTCACATTGACCTTAGCTCCGCAAACATCAGCTGTTGGCGGAGCTGTCCCTTTCAGCACCTGTTGTGGCAGCTGACCGCGCTGTCAGATGTGTACTTTGCTGCACGAGGTAAAAACCCACTCACTTGTTCTGTGTGTTTGCCAAGGAATGGAATCCGCTGGCATTCACGAAACCACATACAACAGCATCATGAAGTGCGACATTGACATCCGTAAAGACCTGTACGCTAACAACGTTATGTCCGGCGGCACCACCATGTATCCGGGTATCGCTGACCGCATGCAGAAGGAAATCACAGCTCTCGCCCCCAGCACCATGAAGATTAAGGTAACTTAACACACTGTTGAATAACACATTTATTTGTAATTTTCCCAAGTTGACAAACGTGCTTGTGTTTAGATCATCGCCCCCCCTGAGAGGAAATACTCTGTGTGGATCGGCGGCTCCATCCTCGCCTCGCTGTCCACCTTCCAGCAGATGTGGATCAGCAAGCAGGAGTACGATGAGGCTGGACCCTCCATTGTCCACAGGAAGTGCTTCTAAGAGTCCACCTGCCCACCTCCGCATTGCACTCACCCTTTATTACCTCACCCTTTATTACAGCCGAAGTTACGACTAAAAGCAGCAATTCGCGCGTTGCTGTTAATGTTTTTTGTTTACACAAGTGCAATTTTATGTGAAGATGTACAAGTTTATTAATAAACAAACAGCCTGCCCAGCCCCTTTCTTTCCTTCTCTCTTAAGCGCCAAAGCTTTGCCCTTTCATCACGTGACGGATGAGTAAAGGTTATTAAAGATTTGAATTAGAAAAGATTACAGTGAGCGGAGAGGATAAGCCACCTCATGAGAAATTAACCTAGCAAAGTTTCATTTAGTGAAAACGCCACCGTCACGTGACCAGAAAACCACGTCTCCGAGGTTAAGAAATGCAGATATATGGGGACACAAAGTGTTTGAAACCAGCTATAATTTTAATATAAAGAGGTCTGTGTAATAAAGCTCCTATATATGTATATGTATATATACATATAATTTTTTTTTTTTTTTTTTGGGGGGGGGGCGCTTTGACTTAACATGTTCTATAAACCACACAATAGTCTAATATTAGCATGAGTACACAGTGCCGTGCCATAGGTTGAAGCCTCGGAGCGTTATACAGGGCGGGGTCACATATTTTGCTTCTATTTTTAAACTTCCACACAAACAGAGAGAGGCAGGCAGACAAGCAGGCTGCCTTGTAAAGCGATTAGCAGCTCGGATGGTACTTTCACTCTGTCACTGTATCCAGAGCATCATCTTTGCCCGAGGTGGAAACAACAGCTACCAACCGGGCAAAGATGACGGCGACATGGGGAGGAATCCTCCGGGTATGTAAAGCTGTCTGCTCCAAGAAAGAAATACTGCCTCCACTTAGCCCATAAAGCTGCATTCGCTTTGTGTTTCAGATATAACCTAGAACCGCAGATAAAACAATAGATTTTGTTAAAACTGATGCAATGTGAAACACTAGGTAGACGCAGCCTGCCTGTAAGTGTGTTTATCTATAAACTAAAACAAAAAAACAAAAAACAAAAACAAAAAAATCCCAGAAAAGTCCCCTTGACCTTGTTCTCAGAACACGGTGCCCCCACAAGCACTGTCCAGAAAATATAGATGTTGCTGTATGTGGCTGCACGTGCAGTTTTGTACCTCAATTTGTTAAGTAACAATACAGTGTACTGGTTTGATTCAAGCAAGCTATGCAAAAATGTATAAACCTTTGATTCTAGCACTCTGGACACCCTAGTCTACAGCAGAGTCCACTGGACGGTGCACGTTATGTCCCAAACTAAGTACCTGGAAATCAGAAACCCTGATACTTCTGGCTGCTCTCCACCGACCTGTCTGCACGTACGTGACGCGTGGGAGGGAGGGGGAAGACTACTTAAAGGCGGATTAAAGCTGGCAAGACATTAAATCCAACCTCCCTCCATCCAGACGCAGCGCGCAGCCCATCAAACTGATCTGAAGATCGAAAATAGGAGGGCTTATAGTAATCAGCCCTTCAGACTCTCATGACAAGGAAAAGTGTGGCAACGTTGTGGGAGCGCTCGGCACACACAGCAGGACTGGCGCTGCGCGCTCAGCGCATAACCAACCAGATAGCGCGCAGAGAGAAAGAAAGAGACGAGGACGGTAGCAGCATCCCGTGACGGATGCATTTTTTTTTAGCTAAAATCGAGCCTTGTGGAGACTGACAACAGCAATAGACAGAAAGAAGCCGGACGGGAAATAAAACCCTTTCTTTTTGGAGGGATTTGAACACAGTGCCGTTGCGCTCTCGTCTCCTCCGGATGCTCAGAAATGGGGGAATGGACTATACTAGAGAGGCTCCTGGAGGCTGCTGTCCAGCAGCACTCTACTATGATCGGAAGGTAAGATGACCAACAAAAACCAAGATCAACCGAAGAAACGCAGCAGCCTCCAGGATCGTCTTTAGCATGGTTCCCAGTCCCCCGTTTCTGTCTTTTACCTCCAGGATCTTCTGTAGCATGGTGCCCAGTCTTCGTGTCTGTGTTGTGGATTTTCTGTCTTGTTCCACAGATATCCTTTTTTTGTCGTCGTCGTCCTTCTCCTCCTAAGCGAGACAGCTGAGTAGATCAGTTAACAGCTGTCTCTTCAGAACCTGGGATGGTGCTGCGAAGTTGAAAGCCTAAACTAAAATCCATGTGTCGTTTCATGTGTTCATTCATCCATTTATCCATTTGATGTTTGGTGGTGAGTTTGAGTGGTGGTTGTGCACTCATGGGTGGCAGACAAAGATTGAACGAGAGTCGGCGTTATCACCTCCTTCCATTAACAAAGCACACACAGGTACAGTAACGGCAACACCGATTCCTACATGTCATTCCCATTAAATCATAAAACACACGCTCTATATACAGACGTGACATTATCCATGAGAGAATAACGCTGTTAGAAGCACATAACACGTCAAAGAGCGTCCTGTTTCAGCACTGGACAGCTCCCTACACCAACACGCCAGATTTTGACTCCAAGCGCATCAGCCACCGAGGCAGCGCACAACTGAACCACGCTTACAGTAACCGTACATATTTACACGTATTTTCACATTGTTGTTTGCTTGCTTTTTAGGATCCTACTAACAGTGGTGGTCATCTTCCGGATTCTAATCGTAGCGATAGTTGGAGAGACTGTCTATGATGACGAGCAGACCATGTTTGTTTGTAACACCTTGCAACCGGGTTGCAACCAGGCATGCTACGACAAGGCATTCCCCATTTCACACATTAGATATTGGGTTTTTCAAATCATCATGGTGTGCACTCCGAGCCTTTGTTTTATCACATACTCGGTGCATCAGTCGGCCAAGCAGAAGGAGCGGCGCTACTCAACAGTCTATCTGACACTAGATAAGGATCAAGATTCGCTGAAACGAGACGAGAGCAAAAAGATAAAGAACACCATTGTTAATGGAGTACTTCAGAACACAGAGAACTCCACCAAAGAAGCCGAGCCAGACTGTTTAGAAGTCAAAGAGATCCCCAATTCGGCCATGAGAACTACAAAGTCCAAAATGAGGAGGCAAGAGGGCATCTCCAGGTTTTACATCATCCAGGTGGTTTTCAGAAACGCGCTGGAAATAGGCTTTTTGGTGGGTCAGTATTTCTTGTATGGATTCAACGTCCCCTCGGTGTATGAATGTGATCGCTACCCCTGCATAAAAGATGTCGAGTGCTACGTCTCCAGACCCACGGAGAAGACGGTGTTCCTGGTCTTCATGTTCGCTGTCAGTGGGTTTTGTGTGGTGTTGAACCTGGCAGAACTCAATCACTTGGGCTGGCGGAAAATCAAAACGGCCGTGCGAGGCGTGCAGGCTCGGCGAAAGTCCATTTATGAAATCAGAAATAAGGACTTGCCAAGGATGAGTGTGCCTAATTTTGGCCGCACTCAATCCAGTGACTCAGCTTATGTGTAACACACGTGGAAAAAAACATGTAAAAAACAAAAAACAAAAACCATGATGGACATGATGGACAGCTGTGCACGCCGAATTCGTGTCATGACTTAAAGAGTGGGCAATTTTTTTTTAATTTGTTGGTCTTTGACAGACTTCATGGCAAGCGTGGATTACACGTTTGTTTACTTATTTATTCTTGCACTGATGCAACTTTTTAGTAACGTTTATACTCTGTAGGATGGTAAACGGAGACCATGTTAACGTGTTCACATATTTACTCTGGGGCTGTTCTGCTGTACTTGAAGAGAGTAAATGCAAAAATAATTGCACTAAGAGGTGAACACTTGAGAGCCTGACCTTATCCAAATGTGCTACTGACCTGACGGTGTTTTCAAGACATTTTCTTTCCACCTGTTTTGTTTTTGGCACCAACCTAATTAAATGGCACCATACAAAGGAAAAAAATCAACCACCCAGATTTATATATAAATATAGATATATAAATCCTTACTGACTATGGTTCAGCGTAGATAAAACACATCAGCTTACTTCATGTTTTTTTGTTGCCTGTGTTGCACCACTGACCTTAACACATGTATCCATTCCACTGCTTAATAGCTAACTTGCAAAACAGTATCTGGTGAATTTGCTGCAAAACGCTAACGTCTGTGATTTCCTTAATTTATGACACACCAAAGCGCCCACTGCTTTTATTTGTGAAGTGTTTTCTTGCTTTTGTGTAATCAAGTGCCATACTTGTATATAGACATAATATATATATATATAGATATGTATACATATGAATATATAAATATATAATAATCATCATGAAAGCCGATTCCCTGCTTGGATTATGCTAAATACCGCCTAATTTCTTATTTGCTTTAAATGTATTTGTTGTGATTTAAACGAAAAAGAAAAGAGATATAAAATTTTATCTGTTTTATTTTGCAAATGACTGGAAGAAGAAATGAAGTGCTACTCTTTTTTTATATACAAGAAATGTCTCTCCCCAAACCGAGCTGATAAAAACTGAAAAATAGCACAAAATTGAAATTTTTATCAAAGAACGGGCAATAGAAATCTGCTCTGGTGCTACAGTTTTTCATAGAATGGTTTTAAAATGTAACCGAAACAGATCAGAAAAAAAACTAACATCTTTTTTTTTCTGTGGAAAATAAAAGTGGGATTAATGTACACCAGAAATGTGTGAGGTGCAGTACTTTGTGTCCGCTGCTGGAGCTTGTTTGGAGCTGACCTATCACACAGATATCCAGTGGAAGTTTTGCCTTGGTGCAGTGAAGAATTAAGCCACACCCACTTAGTTAAAAAAAAAAAGGAGGAAAAAAAGGAAAAGAAAAACCTACCGCAGGACACACCTTGTGCAGGATCTCACCAATCTGCAATGTGTTGCAACACTGATGCTGCTTCCACGAGGCGCATCAATACTTATGCTACATAAAGAAGTGGCCTGGGGGAACTTTTAATCTATATGACATGCATCAAATCAGACACTGGCCTCAGCTCTGACAGAGTGTTTGGGTGATATATTACTGAGCAAACTGTTGTGAGAATTTACTTGTAATATGCAGGGATGAGAAAAGCTGATCATTATTCTGAATGCTGAAAGAGCTGCCCTTTCTCTGCTCATCCCTTCTCCTCTTATTTAAATAAAGCAAGCAGCCTGAGCTGAGGGGAGCCTTTGTGTGCATCTTCTGAAGGTCAGAGTGAAAACAAAGATGGGAAAGGGGGTGGGAGGTGGGCACATACAGTTACAGACGAATTTTTGCAGCTCACCGTTGCAGGTGATCTGGGAAAAGGCTGGTCCCTTCTCATCTAGGATGACTCTGCAAAGCTGGGTGTAATCAAAGAGGAAGGGCAGCCACACATCCATCTCCATCTCAGCAGGGACTAAAGATTTCTTTCTAAATCCTGAAGTTAAAAAAATGAAAAAAGAGAAGAAATGAAAAGAAAGAAGAGCTGTTTGCCACTTTAACTCAGCGCAGTGCAGTTTACAGCTGTGTGCATTTGTCTTGCTCTCTTTTTTTGCATTTAATTTTGCCACAAAAAAAATCAAATCAAATGAAAAGTTAAAGTATAAAAAAAATATAAGTTAAAGTATCTCCAGAAACAAACAAAGGAATGGGATGCTATTGTTTTATTTAATTTCTTGCAATACTTTACCTGGTTTCAAAATCCAGCCATAGAGCAAAATTATTGGGGTATGTTGGAATGCAATTACGCATGCTGTTTTGCATTTACATCATATGAATGTTGCAGGTCTCAGCGGAGATTACGTTGCGCATGTGTTGTCTGCATTTTTGTGGTCATGGCAGCCAGGCTACCAGTCACATAGAGAGTGTTTGCCCGGTGATCTGACAAATGCACATGACATATATCTTGTGGGAGATTAAACATCTGAGACAATATAGGTGCACTGCATATGGAGACCAAGTAATCTCAACGATATATGCATTTATCTGCTGGCCTCAGCCACCCCGACAACTGTAGTAGAACAAAATAAGGGCATATGCGAGCTATTTTTAAAACTCTAAGTCAAAACACTGTGGGAACACCTCTAATTTCATGTGATTGCAGATGCACAGGTTGAAGGCAGGGGTTTTTAGAGTCCCATTTCCCTCTTTAATGTGAGTCACAGACAAAGAATCACCCTTATATTAAAGGGAAGGTCTTCTCCCTAGGCTGTATACTGTGGGAGAGGAAGGCTCTCATCTCATAAACAAAGGGATTTATTATGAGCATTGTGGGCCTCTTCATCATAACTCTGCCACCTTGCTTCTTGATAAAAATAAACCATGTGCTGCACATGCACAGATATCAGAGGTGTAAGATATTCTTTAATAACCTGCAGATTTTGATAAATGTGGTGAAAACATAAAAAAAAAATCACTAAAGACTATAAGAATCTCCACTTCAGAAACATCTGCTTTTTAATGTAGCTGGCAGAACTATTTTTACATTTTTTATTTCACATTTGGTATTTCACATTAATGTATCATACCACAGAAAAAAGAAAAAAATCATTCTTATAGTAAATGTTAATTTTTTTTAATATAAGGACTCTAAGATTTAAATCTTGGGACTCATATTGTGATTTGCTCAGAAAAGCAATATAACTAATTAATTCAAATGTTAATAATTATGTTGCACAAGGACAATATGAATCTTACCACAACACACAGTCTCATGAGACACAACACACACAAAATATAATTATCTACTGTTTAAACAAAACCACACGCACAAAGAAAAAACTAAGCATAATGTAACAAACACCACACAGGGCATACATATTACAGTGATACTAAGAAATACATGCAGGTAATAAAAATACTAATGAGATTTTATTTAATTATGAAGTTATTTTAATGTTAACAGGAATTCTGCTCCAGTTAACAGACACACATGCTTTTATTGTTATTCAGTGTACAACAAGTGCACAAGACATGAAATTTGGCACACTTGGCTCAACAGAAGATGAAATATATACACAAACTATTTTAAATGTATCAAAATACAAAGCAGCAAAAATACTGTAACAATGGTAAAAAGCGACCTGTGGAATTACAGAAAGAAAAATAGTATGAATGTAATATTTTAGAGTACAGCAGTCTGATGTGATTCTGTTGCTACTATACTGTATGTATGGCATCATAATAATGTATGTGTTTGTAATTCAGAAATATTTTATATTATACACAGCAACAGGTTTGCAGAAGCAAGTATAGTACTTATATTTTAGCGACAGTGTGGCTCCAAGCCTAGGTCTGAAATTAGTTTGTGGTTCAGTGAGCTGATCTACTGATCTATGTTGTCCTGGTTTCGCTTTCTCTTGAGAAGAACCAAAATAGTAATTTTCCTGGTTAGGAATTGGGAATGTGTTATATTCTGACCAGAGTGTGTTTGCAAGCCCAGGCTTGCAGGCACAAGTGATGAAGCCAAAGCTAAAGCCGAGGCTTGATATATAAGAGCTTCATCTAAGATGCAATTAATAACAAATGCTGTTTATTTGAAATAACAAAAGACAACACTGTGTTGCTCTGGAACCTAAACACAGATTGTCCATACATAGAGAATATAAAATGCTAACATTTTCTGTGCTGGAAGAAGCATGTGAAATCTTTAGCTATGAAATAAAAAAGTCACTGAGGTTAGAGACACAATAACTGAAAAAACCCCTCAAATAACTGAATTTGAAGTTCATAATACACATCTTCTAATGTCAAGAACCATTGTTCTGAATAAAGCTGGAAACAGTAAAAAAGTCATTTTCATCAGCCCACATCTACACATAAAAGACGACATAGCTTCCTTTATATAGTATTTCTATTAGTACTAATTATATATTAGTACTTTAATACCTAGCATTAAATGCCAATAAATAAATAAAACAAGGCACAGCTACAGAAGGAACCATTTGTTTAGTTAACACTTGTTCATGAGTCTACTGTATTCAATTCAATTCAACTCAACTCAATTTATACAGCTCGAAATCATAACAACAGTCACGTCAAGGCTCTTTATGTTGTAAGATAGACCCTGCATTGATGCATAGAAAGAAAAACACAAAAATCATAAGATTGTTCCCACTGTTGCTCTTTGTCGACAACCGGTTGGGTTGAGTAAGTTACTGTCAGTAAGTTATTGAGAAGGAATGTAGCCAAATGAAAGACACCACAGTGGAAGGATTGCAAACAGCACCGTTACACTGCCATTACCTGCTGTGGAGTGATGAAAGTAAAGGAAATACCACTGCATCGGCTTGAATGGCTGTTATCAAGAGGGAATAGAATGACCAAATATATCAGGAGTAATGCAGGATATTTTCTGTAATAAACTGTCTAAAATTCACCTCGTGCTCTTTGTGTATAGCTGTTGGTTTGATGAAGATTGGTTCACATTTTATTGCCAAAAACAAAAACTTTAGAAACACTATATGGTGTCTATTTGTTTGTGGGTTTGTCTTTTGTAAAACTTAAAATGATCTTTTTTAAGATCCTAGAAATACATTTCTGAGAAGAGGAAGAACCCGCTCGTCTGTGTTTTTCCTGCAACGCGACTTAATCCGCGTGGCCTTTGAAATCCAGAACTTTCACCTGAGAGTAAATCCTGCAATCCTTTTGCCCCAAAACAAGCACATCCTCCCAATTTCCCCTCTTTTACCAATCTGAAAAGAGAAGGCTGGCTCCAGGGAAGTGCTGCTTTAATTCTGCCTTTTGCACAGATTACAGCATGAAAGGTGGAGAGCAAACAGAAGAAAAACAGTGAATGTGGGTCTTTTTGATCCACTCAGCCAGAAGCAATAAAATTAGCCCGGTTACGGTAGCACATATGCATGGTATAGCATGGTATGGGCAGATATGGCAGACGCTGACACAAAACACACTGGATGTTCACATTCATGTGGAGGAGGACACCGGAAAGCATTTGCAGAGTGTGACCAACTTTGTAACTTTCTGTCTGCCGGAGGAGGGAAGGCATCCACTTTGTTCTGGCTGTAAAGTAGGTTTCTCTGTCTCTTCATCCTCACCAATTTATTTTAAAGCTGCTAAAAGAAGCAGAAAAACAAACTTTTCATTCACTAAGCCTATGGTCGCTTTATCTTTAAAAATCACCAATATAATGAAATCTTCACGGTACAAGGACTAAAGGACAGAGAACATCTGACAGAGTCTGGTTTGAGGGATTTGGCTGGCTGGTTTGGTTGTAGGTTAGGTCGTATTGACCCATACAGAAGGATTTGGTTGAAAACAAGCACTGGCACTGAAAAAATATACCTGACAGACCTGAGAACAGATTAATTTCTCATCCATTTTTTAATGTGACCCGAGGATTAGGAACATTAGCGGATTATACTCACATTTGTCAACCAGAGGTTCACAGTGGGACAGCCAGCAACTGGGTAAGGACACAATGCACCTGAACCCAAAATCTGATGGATTCCTATTGTTCAGGTAGGCCAGGGGAAGATGGAGTCAGCCAGGATAAGACTATTAGAACTTAAAAAAAAGACCAGGTAACTTTACTCATTACATTTTAATTCTTTTTTTTATATCGTAACAATTTTCTGTGGTGAAGATCTAACAGGTCTAAGCCCTAATCTTTGTAATACCACCTTTTTTTTTTGCCATACTGCACCAAGTTCCCCTAGTAAAGTATATGTTATTAATGCAAATCAGATGGGACCAGGCCGCACTGCAACAATAAACAAAAGCTAAATAATTTCTTGCTTGTGACATTTCAAATTTCCCTCCTGAGGTGACAATTCATTCTCGCATCTACAGCCTGTTCCAACTTTCTACACCCACTTGCCTCCTCTGCATTCCCTAATAGCTTGTACTACACACAGCCCATCGACCCTGAGAAATGTTTAGGTTCTGCACCATTACACAGCCAATAAAAATCAGTGGCTGGCAAGCCTTAATCGGACACAGAGCTGTTCACCGGCCAATTGAACTTGTACTGATATAGGAGGTACAGAATAGCAGTGTGCAAGAGGGAGGAGACAGAGGCAGAGGTGTAGAGATATTAATTTACTACTACCCACACTGAAATGCAGTCACATAAAGAGAAGGCTATGAATCACTACAGAGGCACACAGGGACAGAAGATAACATCCATCTGGTAAGATTTGTGGGCGCAGAATAAAAGGACTACCTTCTAAATTGTCTGCTTAGGAGCCAGATGAGTGGGAAGCTG